CATTCCCGGGATACTGGAGAATTAGTCCATCAACGGCGGCGAAGATACCTAGTTTTCGCAACAAGGCTGGCATGTCGCCGGTTATCAGTTTCGCGGAGGCGAAGAATCGCGCTAGCTTCGGGAACTGTGCAGGATGGGAGGTGATTAAATTCGACGAAATTTTTCTTTCCTCTCTCCTGCATTATTCATTGAAACATACGGCCCATACCGTCGTTCGCAAGAAACCCTTCGCAAGCCAAGAGTATGTCATGGGAAGAAAATAGTGGCGGTCATGTAAGGTATATAGCTTAGCTTGGACGAGGACAGCTGATCTCCACTCGCTGACTTCATCGGCTCAGGTACCCCACGTTCCGCTCATTACTCCGTATGTGTATGATTTTTTTTATTTATTTATTTTCTTTCTCGTTTTATGTTGACCCTCGTAACAAGAGTCCTCAGGTGAATACCAACAAATTAATCCCAAAAGAGACAGTGCACAATGTCTATCTCAAAATTGACAACGATGCGTATATACAAATCTGTTTGTCGCAGATAACTGTTCCTCTTCTAACTCCGGTCAAGGAGTTGGCCAGAAAGGCAAAGTGTGAGGGGGGAATAAAGACGAATAAAAAAAGAAAACAAACGGAAAGAAGAAAAATTGTCCAATTCAGTTCAAATGACTCATGAGCATCCCTAGTTCCTCAGCCTGGTATATTTTCTTGCGCTTCAAGAGAAGTAAAAGTACAATGCAGTCATAAAACAAGATTCTTGGGTCGAATGGTGGCAATAGCAACGCATGACCGAGTGGGGGAAAAGCAAAAGGGAGAAAGGAAAAACGTAACAGCAGTAACCTCGTCGTAAATGATAACCAGCAGATCAAAAGAAGAAGAGAGACTGAGAGAGACCGTCATACTATGGCTCGTCTTGCTTATTGGGTTGATGAGAGGTGCGTTCTATGTCGTCGCTTCTTTTATTTTTATACGTGGGGCCTGGCTCTCCGTCACTTTCCTCTGCTAACTCTGACAGCCCATAGGCTTGATTCTCCACATCATAAGCGTGGATCAGGCCTTCACGGTCTCCATTGCCATTCAGGAAGGCAAGGCTTGACGAGCTTCGACGGTGGGGCTCGTTGCTCCGACGGGACTGCATAGACCGGCGGGTTTGGAAGCTTGCGATTCCATCAGTTGGCACACCTTCATCATCTAGCTTGGAGTTCAGCATCTGCCGCCCATCTGGGTCATGTCGGGAGAGATTCAAAAGATATACGCCGGAGAAGATGATGAGAAACCCGCAAAGTAACGAAATCGTGTTGACAGCGTCAGTGGTGTTGAAGCCCTTGAAAAGTATGAAGGAAGCGCACAATGTGGCCGTCGTGAACGTCACATAATAAAGGGGATTGACTCTAAAAAAGAATTTGTCAGCTGCGGTTGTGTGATGGCGCCAGCCTACTTACATCGAGGTAGAAAATTGGTTCAACGCCTTGTTGAAATAGTTCATCTGGGTGAGGATACAGAAAGCCGTAACGATCAGGAAAACGTAAGTTGATGCGTGCGTGAATTGGTTGTTACCACCAAGGGTAAGCTTCAAAGCAATGCCAAAAGCCTTAACGGACATGACGGAGACGGAGCCGACGGTGGAACAGATCGAGATAAAGATGAGGGGATTCTTTTTGCCGTAGACCGGCGCAACTCGGTAGATCATGACAGTAGAGAAAATCGCAACAGCGAGACAATAGAGAAGAAATCCTGTTGAAAGCCGATGTTAGTTGCGTGCCGCGTGTTATTGGGACTGTACATGCCTGGTTGGAGGGCATAGTGCAGGATTTCTTCGATTGTCTCGACAGGCTTGTCCGGAGGCGCGTGAAGCACAATCACCACGGAGCCAAGCAGACACAAAGCACAGCCCATTTTACCCAATGTGCCCAATTTCTCATTGAGAAAATAGGAACCGAGGACCGCACTTCACCTCCCGTCAGCAAATCGCACAGACAACACTAGACTGGAGGACCACTCTTACCCGATCAAGACACTCAATGCGCCCAAAGGGGTAACAAGGATCGCAGGCGCAAAAGCGTAAGCTGCGAAGTTTGCGACTTCTCCAATGGCCACTACCAATCGTTGTCAGCTCCATATCCCTTCTGTATCTCTCTTTCGGTAGGCAACAGCAGGAGTGTTCGTACATGTGATAACACCACCCCACCATATCGGACTTTTTAAATATGAGAATCCTTCTCCCTCGAACCCATGTTGTTCGGAGGCGTGCGTTAAACCCTGCACACAATTGATTAGTTTCAAATCTCGAACCGAGGAGAGTATAGGCGGGCGGAGAGGAGGGACGAGCTGAAGGCGTGAACGAAAGCGAACGGACCTTTTTGGTAATAACGAAACTTGTGCCTAGCATATGGTCAATTCTGGTCTTCGCATGGGTCTCCGAGAGGAATACATACCTATTGCCATCGTTGATAGGATGGCCAAGATAAGGCCTATGTACCTGTACGCAACGTAAAGGCCGGTCAGAACACCATGGTCATGAGGCCCCTAGAATCAAACAATCAAGGGCATAACAGATTATGCATACTTATCGGAGAGCATATTGACGTATCTTAGGAGCTAAAGGCTCCCCCTGTTGTATGTACTCCAATGCTAGCAGTCGCCTTGGGAAATAGAATCGAAAGCGAAATGGGGAGGAGGGATTGGGTCGTTGTTGGCTCTCGGTGGACTAGCCAAGCATCCGGGGCGCACCAACAATGAACGTTTCTATCCAGGAAGATGAAGAATAACAGCAACACTGCAATAATTCGGACGTAGGGAAAGAATAGAGGCGGTTTCCCACAAGTTATTTGGAGACCTGTTGGATTTAGTGACTTTCTAAAGAGTGTTGGTCGAGAACTCCTGCGATTGAAAGAGAGCTTCAAGGTTACTTGTCGGCCTTCCCTGATCGGTTCTAGAGGCTGGCCTGAGGTTGGCTTGGCTGCCTGCGCTCGTGCGGTGGGGGGATTTTTTTCCTTCCCAGCAGACGGAACCGGCTGTTTTTGGACGCGTAAGTGGTTGGAGGCGATGAGTAAAGCCCACAGTCTGGTTTGGAGAGGAGCTGTGAAAAAAAAAAAATTATTACAGGCGTCAAAGAGTGAGATCCTTGATTCCCTTCCTTGCTCCCTGAACATTGAAACCTATACAACCCAGATCAACAGTGCAAAGAATCGAAATCAATACAGTACTCAACTCTACCTAATTAGTATACTAGTTACCTATCCCGCGCCACCATACTAATAATAGAGTGCCAACCTTGCGTACTACTATGGAGTAGGATATTGTTGCGATTACCATAGAGTAAGAAGAATCCCCATATATTGGGTACATAAAACAGTGGTTTTACTGTATAACATCACGAAATCTATTGAAGGTGTTGTTTAAGACAATACATGTCTGTATCTATGTATGTACCGTATGCATGCCCGCTACCTCTCACACCGTGGACAGGGTAAACCATCGCCTCTGGAATGGTCATACCCAACCTAGGTTCTGTAATGAAGGACATAGGTGGCCACAACCCGCCACCCAATCACTAGCCAGCACCCAACGCGCAAGCCCCTTGGTGCTCCTTGTTGAACCGTCCCTGTGTGTCTGATCGGCGTTTCACATCTTGGGGAATCTCATATGTTGTCTAAGAATGATTAATTAGTTAATTTGGGCTAACTTTGCAATCTGTTTCCCGGCGCTACTCCGTAAGGTACTAGTAGTTACTGTTACCAGTCCGAGGTCCCTGGCAAGAAGTCAGTTACCAGTATATTACACGGGATACTACTGTTGGTATCATGTGATATGATATGTTACCCTCGTTAGACTCACTACGGAGTACCCTCGTCCAGTTCATCTGTTCAACGTTGAAAATCCCTGTCATCATAATAGCCTGGCACGAGGCCCTAATTTAACTGCCGAGGTATCCACTCCCAGCCCCTCTGGAGATTATAATGTACGTATTTCTATATCAGAAATTCATGAATTATACAATACTATAGCCTCCCACTGCCTCCTTCCAAAATTCTATCACCAGTAACCCCTCACTTTAGAGGCCGCCCAGGCTATGAGATGCTTTAACTCTATGCATTGTCCCTGAACTACTGTAACCTAAAATCAATCTGCTCGGATGGAGGCTCCCTATTCGTGGACACGTGACTTGCGAATAACATAGGCAAGGTTTGTCCTTCATCACTTACATCGAGCATCAAATTCCAAGATTATTGAACAGGCAGTCAAAAGACGGAGAGAAATATTACGGACAGGCTATAGCAGTCAATCAACAATGATACCTAGCATGATCTCTTTACTCCATGCGGCTGCCCGGGACTCCCCGCCGTACCAACACAAATTTCCATCCACCTTATTTAGTCTCAAATACTGAACCCTTCCCTGAATACAAAGATAGCGACTGCGACATCTCAGAAGAAACGCCGTAGATCAAGATGAAAACTAAGATATCATTGTGCACTCCTTGAGAGGCAAGGGCCCAAAAGTTGAAAACCCACGGCGCCAGTGCTGAACTGCTATCTGGGTATAGCGCTTTTTGGTATGAGAAAACCTTACACGCCGTATAACGCCGAAACCGTCAGGTGGTATCACTCGAACCAGAAGTCACAAGCAATGCAACAAAAGGGGGGGGGGGTGAGATGCAAGGAAGGAGGAGATTAATAATCTCAAGTCGAAATAATGTGTACAAACCTAAACTTACGGGCCGTATTCGCAAGACGAGAAGGTTGAAGGTATACCTTTGAGCATACCTCGAGAGGGAATCAATGAGTTATGAGGGTGATACATACCTGATTCAGTGAGGTGTGTGAGACTCGATGCGCCGGATAATTTTGTTAGTAGTTAGGTCATAATTACTAGTTGACCCTGGCGGAAACAATACTGTAATCAGTATGAACCGAAAGGTGCAGTGCCTGGTTAGACAAAACCAACAACGGCCCACATAGCCCAGGGTGGAGCTCTAGACTAGGGAAAAGAAACTAATCACACTGGAGATCATGATGATTTGGAACGTTTAGCGTCCGGAGTAGGACTCTCGGCCAGCTCGAACTCATCTTCCGGCTCGCGGTGTCGTTTAGTGGATGCTAGGCCGGGTGATTTTGTGTCAAGTTCCTCAGCATCACCGAGATCTTCTGCGATCCCCAGATCCAGATAATCTTCATCGTCGTCAAAGGGCAACTCTTCGATTTCTTGGTTGGTATAATTTGAGGCGACATGCTCAGTCGCATCATTAAATTCCTCAGGGAGGTCTGCGCCCTCGATATCATTGTCCGTAGCCGACGAGTTTCGAATAGGACTATTCATGATGTCCTCGGCGATGCCTGATGAGTCATCGGCCAGGTCGGGGGTGGGTTGAACATTGTTTCCTGACACATCTGAGCCAGTGTTACCCAATTTCGGCAAGGCATCACTCTTATCGCCCTGCAATGTCTCTTCGATTTCAGCGTCCTGATATTGAGACGCAACGCCCTCAACCTCGGACTGATTGTCTTCATCAAGTTCTTTCGAAGATTCCTCCCGAAGCTCTTCTGTGATTGACTCAGCTGCATGATGATCATGTCCATGATCAGAAGCATCGCCCTCAACCTCCTCAGTACCGTCATTCTGATTGGGATTGATCGGAATGTCGTCCTCTTCGGGATAGCCTCCGTCGTTGGTGCTTCCCGGTGCGTATTGTTCTTCATGAATATCATAGGCTTGGTGATCATCACGTGGAACATCGGTAGAGCCGTCAGGGTTTAGCTGCTCCTCTGTCAAATCAGTTGCTGAGAAATTAGTGATAGTAGCAGTCGATTCTGTATGCTGCTCCTCCTCAGAGTCATACGATTCTTCATTTAGTGGCTGACGATCGTGAAGCTCAGGGTTCTCAAACCCTGGCTGAGTAGGAGCTTCAGTTTCATCATCGACGCCGATCTCTTCAGTAGTACCACCCGATAGATCAGCACCTGCACCGTCATTTTCTGGATATTGTTCCTCCGGTTGGGCCTCCGCAATTTGCCGCTCGTTGAAATCTGACTCGTTTTCATGGACTTCCTGCAACTCAGAGGGGTGACGCTCTTGTTGGTCAGAGATGACTTGCTGTTCCTCACCGGAGTTCGCTTCCTGATCGTCTCCATCAAAGATTTCTGCTGAAGCTGCTTCCACTTCTTGATAGCCATCCCATGAATGGATTTCAGACAACCCTTTTCCTTCGCTGGCAGCAAGGAGAAGGTCAGACACCTCCGCAGGTATAGTCAGTTTTGTTGTTAGGGTTAGATAAAGTGGTTCAGGTTCATCAATTCCATCATTGTGGCACAACTGGAGATACAGGTCCACAATTTGGTACAAAGTCACCTTTGATATATGTAAAGAATCCTAGGTCAACGGTAAGCACCCGTACAATGAGTATTGGAAAAGTGACGAACCTCAGTTAGCTGAATGTTCAAAGCGTCAACATCCATAACGAGAACCTCATTCTCTCCAACATTTCCTTGGAGCACTTGACGGCAGGACCGAAAGAGCTCTCCTAACGGTGTGTATGCGAGATTTTCATCTTCGAGAAAAAATGTCTCGGAGGAGTCACCCTCCTGGGGAGGGAATAGCGAGATTTCATTGTCTTGGTAGTACACTCTTACAGGGTACAACGAAGAATCCTTAGTGATATCCTGCTCTTGCTCGTCGTCTTCCGCAAATTCTGTCTCCTGCCGATAAGACTCATCATGTTCTGTGTCATGCTCTGTGGTTTTCCTTCCTTCCGGTTCCAGTTCTTTGTCCTTGTCCGCTGTTTGCTGGTTTTCATCTGCATCATCTTCATGAACTTCGGGGCTGGAGGCGCCAGCTGTATGATCATCATTATCACCGGGAGTTTCGTGTATATCTGCTTGTTCTGGTTGGTTAGTGTCAACGACGTTATTATCCACATCCGCAGACTCGGGCTGGTCCACTTCAGCCTCTTGGGCGATGTTGTCTTCATCTTCATGATGGTGCACTGTAGGAGCTTCTTCTGAAAAAACTTCTTTAGGTGCGTCATCTTTGGGGTGTGCGGGTTCGATGTCATTCGCGGAATGGGCTTCCACAGTGTGATTTCTGCTAGTGGCCTCATCGCTTCCATTCTTTTTCGTTAAGATGTGTTCTGATGTTACTTGATTATCTGCAGGCTCAAGGGATGCGGGGGCTTCTTGAGATTCTGGAACACGGGCTTCTGGAACAGGGGCATCAATGTCTTCAACGTAATCATCTTCTAGCATCTCCGCCTCATAAATCTTCTCGGTGCCGTATTGCATCTCGACACTGTAACTTGTCTCTGCGTACTGGTCGTCCACATCAAGCATGGCCGGTTCGGCGACCTCATCTATCATATCCGCATCGTTCGGGTCGTCTTGTTCGTATTCTGTTTTATGAGGAGCTGCTTCATATTCATCGGCTCCTATCATATCTTTGTCGGTGTTTGAAGCTTGGTCATCCATGACATCAAGGTCGATATCAAAATCATCGGCATGCCCCTGGTAAGGCGACGCCATCTCCATCGTGTCATCAACGACAGGGGGTTCCATTGCATAAAATGCTAACGAAGAGGCTGTGGCCATGACATGAATGTATCAAAAAGCAACGGGTGAAGGGAATCGCGTAAGATTTCAGCGTGGCGTCCCAGCTGTCAAGGTTGGAGTTCGAATATAGGTGTGCCTGCTACGCTTACTAAGAAGAAAAAAAGAAGGTCTCAACCAACACGTAAAGTAGAAGAGATAGAGACCCTTTTGACAGCGGTCAGTATGAGAGAAAAGTGAAAGATAACAAGAAAGGAGATAGAGGTCGGTGACGGGTTGACGGATTGTTGGACATATAGAGGTCGCCAGCGGCAAAGTTGGGTTCTCTCTGTCTCCCTCTTGTGCTGTGGTAAGCGAGGGGGTAGCGCTGTGCACGGGCCAACGGAGAGACAGAAGTGAACAGCAAGCGGCTCCGCCGCTGGAGTGGAATACCTGGCATTGCATTCGGTCACAGTCTGGACACGCTTTCAGACAATCGGTCATTCGACTAAAGCTGCCATTCTGCTCGACCACCATTGAGACGGATTTAGACCGTTTATTATACAGTCATGGTCTGATGCCACTTTTAGTGATCTAACTAAATCTTGCTGACCGTTGTCAACACAAACACAGGTCGTACTCGCAGCGTCCATATGCACCCGCGGGGGTAAAGCAGTTCTTTCGCGCCAGTTCCGTGAGATTGCTCGCTCCAGAATCGAAGCTTTACTCGCATCCTTCCCGAAACTGGCAGATTCTGGCACCCAACATACCACCGTTGAACAGGACAATGTCCGCTTTGTGTACCAGCCCCTGGATGAGCTATACATTGTCCTGATTACCAACCGTCAATCCAACATTTTGCAAGACATTGATAGCCTCCACCTGTTTGCCCAAGTTACTACCAGTATTTGCAAGAGCTTAGATGAACGGGAAATTTTGCGCAATGCTTTCGAGCTACTCAGCGCATACGACGAGCTGGTGACGCTGGGATATAGGGAGAATCTATCGCTGTCGCAGATCAAAACTTTCTTGGAAATGGAGAGTCACGAGGAGAGAATCCAAGAGATTATCGAACGGGTAGCTATCTCTACTATGCAGGCTGCTGATTCCTTGCTGACTTTACTCTGTAGAACAAAGAACTCGAGGCGAGCGAGGAGCGCAAAAGAAAAGCGAAGCAGCTGGAGATGCAGCGAAAGGAGGCAGCTCGCACCGGTCGTGCTATGGCTCCACGCACCCCGTCCTATCCTGTCTACACTCCCCCATCGCGACCTGCCGTACCCGATACCTACGATTCCTATGAAGCAGAGAAGAAGAAGTCATTTGCCAAGTATGTGGCTGTATATTGCTACCTTTGTTACTGTCACTAACAGGCGACATTTTTCAGGCCATTGCCAACTAGAGGGAAGGGCATGCAGCTGGGCAAGAAGTCAAAAACCACGGATATATACGAGAAAGTCCGCGGCGATCTGGGCCCCGAAGCTGAGGAATCTAGTCCTCTAGTCACCCCGCAAGCCTCAACTCCTGTCGTCGGGGAGACTTCGTCTGCTCGTGCCTCTCTCTCTGTTGACCGGGATCCTGTTCACGTTACTATTGCAGAAACAATCTCTGCCAATCTTACTCGTGAAGGTGCTCTGAAATCCTTCGAAGTAAAGGGCGACTTACAGCTCCGCGTCTCCGATCCGTCATTCACCAAACTCAAACTTGACCTTGCCACCAACCCTACTCATGGAGCTCAGTTCCGTACACATCCAAATGTTGATAAGGCTGCCTTCACCGACTCATCTGCCATTCAACTAAAGGATTCGACCAAGCGATTCCCGGTTAACAACTCAATCGGCGTCCTGCGTTGGCGTGTCGCTAGCTCGGATAATGCTGATATGCTCCCTATCACCTTCACCGTCTGGGTGAACAAAGGATCCGATTCCACTACAGTCACCGTTGAATACGAGCTCACTGGGTCGGATGCTCTGCGTGACGTTGTTGTTACTATTCCATATGGTGAAATAGAACCGTCTGTATCTAGTTTTGATGCAGTGTACGAAGTGACCGGAGATAGCATCGACTGGAACATCGGAACAGTGGATGAAAGCAACGCGTCTGGTAGTTTCGAATTTGAATCTACCGGCGATTCTGATGAAAACATTTTCTTCCCGATGAACGTTCGTTTCTCCAAAACGAACCCTTTCGTTGAGGTTGATGTTACTGCCGTCTCCCTATTGGAAATGGATGGCGAAGAAACCGGGTTCAGCAAGGAGGTGAAGAGCATTGCAGATGGTTATTTGATCAAGTAATACCGTTTTGGGCGTATAGAGTACTAATGATGTTCGGATTGCCTTGAAGATTTTATCACTGCAAATTTCCTCTTTTCCTCTAATACTATTAACCAGGGCTCTTTTGTTCTTATATTCTCAATTCAAATTATCGTCCCCGCCTAACTGTCTATATGCGAATGGTAAAGTCGGCATACACGATTTTAAAACCAAGGAGGGGCGTTATGACTAGCACTCGTGGGGTCGACTTTTGGGCATAGGCGATCGATCTATACCAAAGATCATATTTCTACATACCTAGGTTCACAAAAAAGGGGAAGTCTGTTCCAACCAGATAGTTAGTGAACGCTACTGAACATAGGTCACTTAAGGAAACACAGAATCTAATTCGAAAGTCCATAGGGTTAAGTCTCTAGGTTTTATTTCTTTTTCCTTTTTTGTTTCTCCTTAGTGGAATTAATTTCAATCTTCGTAGGACGACAGGAGGGCACATGAAACGATAAGTTTTGTTGTCTTTTTACTCGTATTATGTGGTAAGTGCCAAGTCACCTGCCTTTGGTGTTATTCGGCTGTATTCTCATCTTCACATTACGGCGAACTTCTCGATCTTGAACACCCCCTGATCTTGAATAGTCGGCATTCTACTGCAACCGATACTAACATTGAGGTATCTACGTATGGGCGAGAATGAGACATTTAGCCGCCGCTGACCATGGCTCTCAATTGAATGGATGTCGTCGAAACTGGGTCATTCGGATGTAATGAAAGACGTCAGCACCGATAGACACCCTCTCCCATCCGCCATGACGGGGCGGAGCCACGGAGGACAAAGCTGAAAAAGGAATAAACGACTCTCGGCTCATGCTTAGTGTATACAACACTCGGTCAATCCTGTCATTGATTGATCCTCCAGGCTCTCCGTACCCCCAACACTCCGCCATGGATGGTCAGCCTTTCGGTGAGGAGGTGCAAACTATTTCACATGAGCTACTGCCTATTGGATCACGTTTAAAGTACGGTGACCAGGGGTCCTGGGAAGCTGTTGGGGTATCCTCCCCTCTTCCACGCCACTGGCCCCAAGTGCCCAAGTGGTCATCCCCTTGACGATCAGGTGGGGTGTAAAGGCAAGTCGACGGGGATCTCAGTCAACCAAGGCGTGAGGGATGTCATTTCCGTGCGTATGCCTTACTCACCCTCGGCCGGAATATCGAAACTTGGCTTGTCAAGGTTCCAACCGGCCATGTCAACTATGGATCGCCCCGTCATTCTAGATATTTCCATTCACTTAACCTTTAATCTGACTTCTGCAACATCTAACAGCAACCCCAAAGATGCATTCTCGCATAAGCATTACATGTAGGGACAAGACGGGGAGGAGTAATTCTAGACCATGTTCAACCAGCCCTGTGAGAGGCTCTTCCATCTGAAAATGGGCAGACGGCTGAAATGGTGGAAGCCAATGAGATCGTGCAGGGCGGCTCTAGGTGTGACCGATCAACCATACTCCACTGCATGTCACATTGGCTCCCCTGTACGGCGTCTAAGGCGACACTTGGGTACGATGTATATCCCCTGTCGAGTATCAACCGCCACCCGGTTAAAGAGACCCAACGACTTTATAGGCAACAGCTTGATCGCCTTATTAGGTATCGGCGGTGAACATCCAGCTCCCCGATCCATCTAGAACCTAACTGACTCGGGCTTCTATACCATTGCAACTGCGCATTATGGGTTTCAGATATCCATGAAAATGTCTCTGGGCAATGACCCCCACATGGCGCTCTGCCATTCCGACAAACTTTCTTATCTTTATTCATATTTTCCCCCTCCAGGGTTTCTTTTTCCTATGTTGGCATGATTACGGTGGTTAAATATGAGACACCTAGGATATGTTGCGAGTGGTGTCTCAGTATCACATTTATAATGGCGACATCTTATGGGATGTTTCCTCCAAAATTCAACTTTGATCGACAGGAGCAAATAATTTCTGGCACGCACAGTTGTAAGAACCTTATTTGCTCAGGTATGCGTCTCTTACATATTGACTTTGTAGTTAAGCCTTGGTACTTGTCCTGTTTGCTTACCTCTGTAGATTGAAGATATATATATATTTATTTATTTATTATTTTTTTTCAATTCCCCGATATACCCATGTCGCTTTCATTACACGATGATTAACCTGAAATTTCTCTCCTGGGAAGACCAGCCTACTATGTTCAGTGCATCTTCCTCTGATGTTAAAAGCTACAGCCATGGGGTATGACCTGTCCATTCGAGCACTGAAGCAAATATCCTACTTTCCGTACATGTTCACGTGTTTATGCTCCTAATAACGTGCAGGACACTCCGATGGCCCCGCCACCCGCACATGACATAGATCACCTTTTAGGTAGCAGAAAAATGGCCATACCAAGACTGGCAGAAGGAGCCGAGTCTGCTTTTACCTCGCCCGGGAGATTCCATCGTCGTCATGTTAGTCGAGCATGCGAATCCTGCAGGCAGAGGAAGACAAAATGCACGGGTGATAAGTCAGGTTGCCGAAACTGTAAGGAGGCAGGAATCATATGTTGTTATACTGACGGAAAGCGAGAGAAATCTAAAAGGTTAGTGGCATTGTTTGACTCCCTCTTCTGTCTCATTGGTATCTTGAACATGCCAACATTCGTAAATCTCTTTCAAAGACAGATGGCTAGCTTGGAAGGAAAGATACAGGCCTACGAAGATGTCCTTAGAAAGCTGAGCAGTCGATTCGGTATCTCTGATGAGCAGCTGATGAGTTTTGCACTGGCAGTGGGTGTGAATAACCCTTCCTCATCCCTTCTATACTAAGTGAAAGCAGGAATCAGCTGCTGGATCGACCGCACAGCTTGATGCATATGCTGCTACACCGGAAGATAGGAAGTTCTTTTGGGTCTTGGGATCAGAGCCATATCTTTCAACTACTTCGCTTGTGTCGCATGTTGCCGACCACACCGAAGAAGATTTTAATAGGGACCACTTCACACGGGCTACGGGTTTCATTGGTAAATGCTCAGAGATCTCATGGCTGCAGATGTTAAGCAAAGATATGGACTCTGGGTGCGAGGTATGTCATCCAATTTCTGATATATCTTCACCGGCTTTGACATCCTACTGTGATGGGCCGATAGCTTCGTCAAATTATCACCTTGACGACTTCGACATGCCTACCATTGAGCGACTTGACACATCTGAGCTCCCGTCTAAGGACACTGCCACGAAACTTTTCAATGCGTACTTGAGTTCTGTACATCCTTCATTCCCCATAATCGGAATTTCGACATTTGCATCACAATTTCAAGCTTTCTTCAATAACCTGTCCCTGAAACCGGGAAACAAGTGGCTTGCCATATTAAACCTCATCTTTGCTATTGGTGCAAGGTATGCCCATTTGACCAATGCAGAATGGAGAAGGGACAGGGATGATCACTATTCATACTTCATAAGAGCGAGAAACATGAGTCTTGAGGGCCAACTACTGCACCATTCCGATCTACAACAGTTACAAGTTGAAGGGTTGGCGTCGTTCTATATGTTATCATCTGGCCATATGAATCGGTATGCTTGCCCTGGGTATCTGTGTTTCGAATGTAAAGCTCGCCACGCTTACGGATAGATCCAGGTCATGGAAGCTTTGTGGCAGTGCTGTGCGCAGTGCCCTGAGCCTTGGGCTGCATTTACGCAATATAGGGACGAGCACTTCTGACACATCTAAAGAAATACGATACCGTGTGTGGTGGGCTTTATATACACTCGAGCATCGTCTCAGTGTGATGACAGGCCGACCCTCCTGCATCATAGAAAGCGCCTGCACGACCCCTCTTCCTATCCCTTTCGATGAGAGCGACTTCCGCAAAGAACCGGCAATGCACCTCATAAGTCGTTCCACACTAGAGGGCCCTAGCCAGCCTAGCCCAGCCTTAAATTCTTCGCCTAACCCAGACCCCAAGGACATAGGAAAGGAGATGGAGAGCGATGTAAATGCCGCTGCCCCGTGCAAGTCACTATACTTCTTGCAATTGGTAAAATTGACTTCAATTGCGAAAAGGATGACAAGCAAGCTCTACAGCCCTGATGGGGTAGAAAAGCCTTGGTCAAGTATGGAATTTGCGATACGAGGGCTCATGCTTGATCTTGATTCCTGGCTTTTAAATCTGCCCGCTGCTTACGACTTTACCTCTACACACACTTCGCAAGGCTCGGCAACCCACAGAATGAGCCTAGCTCTCACATTTTACAGTACGAAGATTGGGATCACAAAGCCGTGCCTTCGCCGTATCGAGTCAAGTGCACTTGGTGATAAATCGGAAGACTTCTGCAGGAAGGCTGCAGTTGAATGTATAGAATCAGCTTGTCATTTGTTGAGACTGTTTCCTGAGTCTTTGGAAGCGGCATTACTTCACAAATCGTCTCCATGGTGGTGCATATTACATTTCCTTATGCAAGCAACTGCCGTCTTGTTAATTGAGCTTTCTTTCCATGTACAACACGTTCCTGAAAAAGCGGCCATGGTGTCAAAGGCAGTTAAGAAGTCCTACGATTGGCTGTCAGTTATGTCGGAGACTAGCATGGCTTCAGAAAAAGCTCGGAGGATGTGTGATGAGTTCCTGTGCCGGCTTGGCTTCAACAGCGGTACTGAGATCCACGGCTTCCCTTGTATAGCGGGCCTTGCTTCACAGAACTCGCCCGGTGACGAACTTCAGGATCCACACCCCAGATTCACAAGAGTAGCCACCCCCAATGGCATCCCAGGCGGAGCAGGCTCTATGCCATTGTCACCGGTAGACCATTCCAGCACCGCATTTGCCCGGCCATCGTCAGTTGACTTGGAAGTCCCGGAGACACATGAACTTGAGCAAGATGAGAAATTTTTCACTGTCCACAATCTTTATGACGGCTATTTGCCCTACGACCCTAACACGGGCCAGATAACCGGTTCTTTTTTCCCTTCCGAAGAGGACATTGATATCAGACTGGGGCCATATAATTGGGATGAAACAATGGGATGACTACTATTAAAAACAGCTGGCATCAGCATCTCCAATGATTCTAAATGGCCCAAGATAGCACAATGCACCATATATATTTCGAGTTATATGAAGCTTTCAACTTTTACACCTGTTGAAGCAAGGTCATGCTCATGGAACACAAATCTTCAAAGAACTTCTGCAACACACGTTGTCTTTCGCTAGCCTCATATCCTTGATTACAAGCTACTGTCGATTTAACTATTTAATGTCTAATGGCCCTCCCTCAGCACTCGACTAATGGATGGCGGCAATATTCTTTTCGTCGCCTGTCCGTCGACAGACACAAAGAGAATAATTCTATACGAATTACGCAACGAAAACAATGAAAAAGTAGTCATGCTGTTAGGAGAGCCTTTCACGCGAGATCAACAAAACATGATTCACCCCCTCGACACCTCAACACATAATTAGCAGTGTGGTGAGGTCTTGTCGATGAGAAGTCACCCCTTTCCAGAATAAATTTACTGTGACCCTCTCAACACTCGTTTCCAAGCGGGAAGCCAATACAGCTGCTTGAGCCACACAATGTTCTTCTAGACGCGATCCTTCATTGGCTGTAATGTACCAGTGTTTTGTTTTGTTTCGCTGGACTACAAACCCACTGCCATTCAATTCCTTCAGTCATGAGGTCAATACCCTCAAATCTGTCCAGAAAGCCCTACTGGTACTACGCCATCATACAGCCTTTTACTCCTCAAGTGCACGGAGCACATATCAAAGAGCAAGAAAGTAAAAAAAGGAAGAGGGGGAAAAAAGGAAAAGACTGAAGAGATCAGAACACGTATAACCTACTACATGAGAAAGTCTCTTGACCGGTCGACTAGATCATGGTCTACTTCTCGACAAGAGCAAGAGGCCAAATCGCTCTGTGATATTCAATGTGCTAGCCATCCACCCCCGGTTCCTTAACTATGAGAGTTGTTCAGACTTTCTCCGGCCTCGAAATATCTTGAAAAGTCATGTTTACTTCTTGTATGGTTAAGAATATTGTTGCCACAAGGCACTATCTGTAACAACTTCGGAGAGAAGTATGTTCCTTTTTGTCATCCTGATTTATAAATTGACTGTCTACACTTCCATCGAACACCGAAAGTGTTAAATCTGTTCGTCGCTAAAGTAACATAAATATATACTTTAAGTCTTTACCCCCAAGAGTAATGCACTAAGGAGATATGCAAAATTGCCTATACACAATCGGCGTAGTCTATACCTGTAATTACCAACCATTATGTCTTCGTAACAACAGATCCGTTCAAGCAGACGTAATGGCGACATAATGATGAATTGCAGGGCCGCAGACCCGGGTCCACTGTTCAGATCAAGCTTCCCAGTTCCTTTTCTTCGCTGTAAAAAGTAAACGAGCATTTTCTTCCTGGGGAGAGGATCGTGATAAGCCCGAGGACATGACTGGCACAGAACTGATCCTGGACAGATGGATATCGATGACACGGGCTCTTCGAAGTGACCGGTTTGCCCACGAGCCGGACGAAGATGGCCAATTATTGTTATCCCAGTCTTGTAACTCAATGCCTAGTAAGCCTCTACCGTCGCCCACAAACCGCTCTATACAATCCAAAGGCGGAAGAAATCGGCGTCGCACGCCACAACCATTGTGATTCGTGTCGATTTGATAATCAGGACACTGTTTGAGCGAGGCGATGATTGAAGTTACGTCGCTTGGTGGCCCAGATGGTTGGGAACGTTCTGCTGTATCCTCGTCTTCAGAGTCTAAGCCAAAATCCGGATCTATTAGGGTAGATCCTAAGAATATTGTCTTCGTGCGTAGAGTAAAAAAGCGGGTCATTTGACCCAGATGAAAAGCGTCACAGGCACTGGAATTACCAAATCCACACCGACATTGATACTGTCGAGATTGGACTGCAGTTACTGCGACCGATGCACTTGTTGATTTAGGGCCTTCTGGTTCCTCCAATGCGCCAAAAGCGCGGAGAAAGTACGCTTGGAGATCTGTAATGGTATTTAAAACGCATTGTCGTCTATAGTATAATTCCTCTATAGACCCTGTTAGCATCTAAACACCACATGTTGAGATAACGATAAAAGAAAGCCAGTTTTACCTTCTAAACCATCGGAAAGATACCGCCAGCGGACGGTAGCTGAAGTAGGTGGTTCCACCCCATTTACCCAAAACTTTGACCCAGTGAGGATCAGCGCATGCGTCCATATTTGGAAAATGGTATACTCATTAAGAAACCTCGCTATGAAGATCGTTTGCCGAATTCGGTCCTCACTCAGTTTCAGTACCGAGGAATCAAATCTCAACAGGGGAGCTCTTCCTTTCCCAAAAGCATACCTGGACCTTTTCAGAGCTTCCCAGATGACATGAGGAGAGTTGAAGGCATCAGCTAGCTCTACCAACCTACCAACTAATGAGGCAGGCTGAATTCTGAGCTCCCCGTCGAACTTAGCTTTCTCCTCCTCATCAAATGAGTTGAACGATAACACTCGGAGGAACAGTTCAATAGTGTCTGCCCCAAGCTTTTGTGGGAGATGATCCACCGGCAACCTGACTGTTGGCAAGTTATACCGGATCGAAATATCATCAGATAAAGATTCTCCGCCCTTAGCAGTGGTACCCTGGCTCCACTTGGCCTTCTGTTGGCTGAAATCCCTGCCCTCAGAGAATTTATTAGGGTCAAGCAAGGCCCGAAAGTAGGGACTGCTCCTCATAAGATCATCACTTAAGACCTGCCAACGGTGGCTAGAGTTTTCAGGAGAATCAGGAGGAGAGCTGTCTGGGGGAACGTATTCGATGATCACATCCCCGGTGCTTAACAGAACTTTTACAGCTGACTGAGCTCCAATTAAATGAGTATTTCCCTCCTTATGATTGTTAATAGTAGCAAAAGCCTCCCCTATCAACTGAGGGCAGGGGGGATCGTCCTGAGTATCGCGAAGCCCCAGTGTTTGAAGTGAAGCTCCTATTTCAACTGGTAATGAAGAATGGCTTGTCTCCATGACGTATAAGTTCAAGAGGTGAAAGTTTGTACATAGGCCCTTTTCACACTACTCGCGTCACAGTTCTGAAAGCACATTGGAACTGTAGAATTGCCTATACTCCTGTTTCTCATCGATATGATTGAAATGATTGTTGCTTGTGTTGCTATTTGGATGCCCCTCTACACAATTATGAGAACGTCGTATATTCCCCCGTATGAAAAGACTATAGGCACGCGCCTATATGCATTCCAGCATGCGTAAAAGGGTTGGGATTCGATTATGGCGAAGAGTTGGTTTAGTGGTGGGGAAACTGAAATACTAGGTCATCGACGAACATTGTCTTAACTCATCGGGGAATAGCGTCATGTGATGATGCACCTTCCGAAAGTGGCATTGTGTATTAAACCTGAGATGTACAGTTTCAAATATACTTCCACAGGACGATTGCCCTTTCAACAAGATACTTTTCCGTACTGGGAATTGTATTATACAGTATGTCTGTTTTCACATTAAATTAAACAGTTGTATAACTTCAATAACGTGTACCTCACCATTCCATCCATTTAGGGGTGTCCAACTCCATAATCACGAACAAAAAAGAGAAAGAAATTTCTATTGATGACACGAAGGAATGCGCTATCGAATCACCCGGCAATAAAAGCAACCCAAAGGGAATGTAAAAAGAAAAAAAAAATTGAAGGATAAAACGCCGAATATTTAGCAGCATCTCCTAAGGCAAAGATACAACAGGGATGTGCAGGATCTCGTATTCATTCTGGTTACTTGTGCCGGTATACCCGTTTTGCTTGTCCTTGGTGGACGCTTCTCGAAGCTTTAGTGCATGTGCTATACTGTAGAAAAGCTTCATGGACGGTAGATTCGTGGTGTCTGCCTGGGATGCCTTCATCGCAGAGCAGCTCATCTCATCCATTCCATTTTCCTCGTCATGATCTTCAAGATTAGCGTTCCCTATAAGGTTGAGCCTTGGGGGAACATGCGAGAATAGCGCCAGGCACGGCCGAGGCTCCTCCTCATCTGAAGCATAGGGACTAGGTTGTTGTTGGTCTTCTTCGTGCACCAGAGACTCGGTGTCGAATATATCGTTTCTCTGAGAAACAAGATGCCATAGCTCACCGCATATAAATCCAATCACAAAATCTTGATTCGCGCGTGCTGCTGCCAAACAACTCTTTCTGTAATCGGACTTAAAAGAGGAATCGGTACTGGACGGCAGACACAGGACAAGGCCACGTGCCAGAAGAGGTGGAGGCGGAATATCTTCACTGATAACAAATAGACTTGAGGCTGCGCTTTGAAAGCTTTCCTTCCGTTCATAAACTCCAGAGTCCGTAGGCGATTCTATTACATCCTCCGTATGCTGTGTGATCGTCTGGGTAAGAGATATAGTCGAGGCTTTTCGGGGCGGAAGTGCTAGACCGCTGGTGTCGCAAACCGCGTATTCAGAAAGATGTGAAGTAGCATCATTATCCCCGAAAGCTATTGATTCATGGCCAGTGGATGGGCGTTCACTTGGGTTATTGGCTGTAATTTCTGTCTTGATGGTCTGCACCGCGTCCGCCACAGCCTCTCGAGCGGCAGCTTTTAGGGTCGGGATCAAGATATCAGCCTCCTGGTTACCCACTGCCACTCCTGAGGCCCATGCAGTTCCCAAAACAGCCCACGAAGCTTCCTTTATGACACCTTTCGTGTATTTCTTCCGGATCAAGTCCACTAGCTGATTCTTCACTTCTCTTGACTCGGTTTTCTGTCTGCCAACAATATCGACGGTAGCATTGAGAATGCGGCCAGACTCCCACAACAAAAATCCATGTTTCTTGGCTAAGGAGGTCAATTGGCGAGCTGTCTCGTCGGACCAGTCGTCAATAATATCCGCGTGGATCTGGAGAATTGCAATGTGTGGGCCAACGGACGATGCTAGTTGTAGCAGAGCATCTGTGGTAGTGATGGTGTGGGAAGGAGACACGCAAACAGGAAGACCAAATGGCAATCCCTTCTTAGCCGTCGTTAGGGTCTGAAGGTAGGAGATTAAACGATTTCCCAGGAAGGAAGGGGATTCAAATGTTGAGCCTTCCATTATTTTATGGAGGATCCGGAATAACCGCGGGGGGAGGGGGGGGGGGGGGGGTTGTATGTCGTTCAAGAAACGGGGAGAACAATGGGGAATTGCCTTCTTCTTTTAACCTGAGAGCTTGGGGCAAAGTGAACCAGAGAAGTTGGCCCTCTTGATGAAACTAAACCTGTACTAACGTCGTTGGCGTCTAAGCAAATAAATGGTCCAGTCGGTCGAGACAAAATGATTGACGGAAGGCTTTTAGGAACTCCACTTTTTCTGACAGTTAGTCCGTTCAGGTAAATCGACAGGGGGCAAAAGACCCAGTGTTGTGGTTATTTTATCTCCTAGGCAAACTCAATCGAGTCAGCTAATTGTCCCTCGAGGACGTTGTTGGTAGATTCGTTGGGGTGTTGATCTTTTATACTCCGACAAGTTAACACCTGTCACGTAAAAAAAAGAATAAAAAGAGGGAGAAAGAAAGAGAGCAACGGAGACAAAGGGAGAGAGAGGGATAAAAGAGAGGGGGGAAAGGAGAATGATTCCGAACTGAAAATAGGAATTTCGACATGGTGTATCTCATGTGCCCCCTCGTCTTTTCTTATTTTATTTTTTTTCCCGTTTTTCATTGTTGACTTACTTTTTTGGATGAGTCGAGTGTGGTCCAAGTTCTGTGTACTCCGTATGTGTGTGTGTGTTTACCTTTTTGCTCGCATGCATTCATCCCAGGGTCACGCTCACTGATTCACTGATGAAGATCGTCTGTTGGTGGACCGTTTCGAGGATCTCCGATGATTCTCCAACCAGATTATTGTAATCACAATACCATCGGTTTGTGGCCTCCCCATATTAAGGGGTAAAGAACGGTTAAGATTCCCATCTATCCGGTACAACTTTCCTCTAAGCCATACTAAGCCGTACCATCATTTACACTAAGGCCGAAACAGGAGAACGGGCTGAGAGACCGCTTATGCACTAATCTCAATTTTGTCCGAAAACTCCCTTGACCGCCTACCACATGGACTCTAGTCGGGAACTTGTCCTTCGGAAGGAGTGCTCCGCAGTCGGCCTCTTAACCCTAAAGTCCCCATATCGCTAGACCAGGTTTAGCATATGGGAAGGTTTTAAGTCGTACCATTTCCAGTACGAAAGAGAAACAAGTTAACGCCCTTTAAGTTCTTCCGGGCCCAGATGAACCGCGGTACAGGCGGAGGGGAAAATTCAACACGACGAATGGTAATCGAAAGAGAAATGAGGCTGAGAAGGACCGTCTCAATATAACCACAAACCTCAATCAGCTACCCTAAGGCAAAGCTGAATCCTGATTCGGATTCTGAAAAACGTCTATCTATTCAGCCAGCCCCGCTGGAGGTCCGGCCGAAGGTAAAAACGGTCTTGTTGGATTCGCTGCCCTCGGCGGAGAGCGACCGATAGTGTCTGGTATTAAGCCTTAATTCACAGCCAGAACGTTGGGTGTCTTCAATATAATCAACCAGGATCCATGGATCTTCCACTGAGTGGAAGCTATGCTCTCTAGCCTTATATAGTAGTAAAAGGTTACATGTCAACCCTTGCCCATGACGGCTTGAATATTGGTAAATCCCCACCCCATGCGTGAGGGAACGCAAGGATCTGGACTCGGTCCTCAAGATGATATTGTCCATGCAGTTCCGATCGAATGCACGGTAATTAAGCAGATGCACTGGGCACATCTATACCCAGTTAACAATTCTTCAAGAAAGGATTAGAAAAGCCTCGCACAGCCTCGAGGGCGTTCGTTCTGGGCCTTAATCGCCATCTCTTGTCTCTGTTTACTTTTGCCTGCATGTTGATAGGTCCTCGAGTCTTCATACTCCTACTAGTAGGTACATACGAAAGAGGTATGGAACACTGCCGTACTGCCAAGGTACTAAACTCCACTAGCGCTCTGTATTGGCCAAATGCAAATCAGTTTATATCAAGGAACCAGACCACAGGTTAACGGCACCCCCTAGCCATCAACCGCTGAAAATCCGTTAGATTACCCAAGCCCCTATGAGGCTCCCTATGACAAGTCGCCAAAATCCTTTCAGTTGACAAGTTAGGCGCTTGGACAACCATGCAGGAAATGATCTATGCTTAATCTAGACCCAGAGCTTATGCTTGCTTTTGCTGAATTCTATACTCCGTTCAATATGGCTGAAAGTGCTGTACATGTATCTCCTCTACTCCGACACTACTCCTGGTTTTTGCCGCTCATTAGACCTTTTTTTCTTCTTATTCTTCAGAATGCACCTGATCTCAACTGAGGCTGTGCCTGTGAAATCAGTGTATAGATTATTACATACGCCGTATAATTCTAAATTATAACCCATCGGGCTGGTGTCCCTTAAAAACTCGAGGCATGCGATCCGTAGGATTAGCCGTACCACAACGACGTAAGCGTAGCTACATCTACATTCAGGGGACAAAATGTACACTGCTTCACGTACCCACTCATCTATTTGGCATACAACGAAGCCTTTTCTATCGCATCTCATTACTGTGTAGAAACTCTAATCGTCTTTTTTGGGCTGCTGACTAACCTTCTGGCCAGGGGTCACCTTCTCCGAAAGGCTAGCGTCAAACTTGGTCCATCCTCGGCATAAGCATGTTCAAGAAAGAAGATGACTTTGAATCTTCCTATCGCCTCCGCTTTTTGCTGTTCATATGTGTTTATAAATCTATGAATACTACCCTTTAAACATCATTCATTTTCGTGGGTGATTGGCAACATCGCAAATTGTTTTTAGCCGAGTTGCGCAGACGAATATTATTCCTTAATTTTTTTTTTTTTTTTTTTTATCCTCTTTCCCTTCGGTGCCCCTTCCTCTACCCGTCGGAGCCACCGGACCCGCGACCCTGGATATTATTTTGAAGCTCACGCCACTCCTTTCCGATTACCCATTACGTTTTTTAGGTGTGGTGTGATCTGTCCAACTACATCTCTCGAATTTCCACGCTTATATCTCATCCCTCCTACTGTTCCCTACAAATATTGGCATCCATATCTGGGCGTTTACCGTTTGACAGCCATGCCTGGAAGGACTCTGCCAACGTTTACCTCCACCGAGGTCAAGTCTCACAATAATGCCAAATCTTGCTATGTGACTCTAGGATCCAGAGTGTACGACATTACCTCTTTTGTCGATGATCATCCTGGTGGCGGTGATTTGATCCTCGAGTATGCTGGGAAAGATGTCGAAGAAATTCTGCGCGATGCTGTCTCTCACGAACACTCGGAAGCAGCCTACGACATTCTAGAGGACAGTCTGATTGGTTTCATTGCCTCTGATTCGACTGGCAAAGGTGAAAGCATAGATGGCGCTAAGACAAATGGCGTAGGAGGAACATCGGGCCCAGTATATGCCGCAACTGGAATGTCCCGCGAAGAAGATCTATCTATTGAGACAGACTACTCCAAGGATTATAAGATGCACAAATTCTTAGATCTCAACAAGCCTCTCCTTATGCAGCTCTGGAACGGTGGCTTCAGCAAAGAGTTCTACTTACAACAGATCCACCGTCCGCGCCATTACAAAGGAGGAGAATCGGCTCCTCTCTTTGGAAACTTCCTGGAGCCACTGAGCAAGACTGCGTGGTACGTGGTTCCCATGATATGGCTGCCACCTGTTACCTACGGTACCGTGCTCGGGTTTGCTGGGCTGGGGAATGCGTCTACTGCAGCTGCCTATTGGACTAGTGGCCTTTTCCTGTGGACTTTGATCGAATACCTTCTGCATAGATTCCTGTTCCATCTTGACCGGTATGGCCCCCAGCTCCTCTTCTAGTCCTGTATTTTCCTAAGCTAAGTTTATCTAGATATCTTCCTGATAACCGGGTTGGCTTGACCCTCCATTTCCTGTTACACGGCATTCATCACTATCTACCTATGGACAAATACCGACTTGTGATGCCACCAACGCTGTTTGTTGTCCTCGCTACACCGTTTTGGAAGCTGGCGCATACTGTCTTCTTCTATGATTGGTACGCCGCCTTAACAGTATTTTGTGGCGGTGTATTCGGTTATATATGTTATGACTTGACCCATTATTTCCTCCATCATCGCAAGTGAGTCACATTCGAACTTCGGGTTTTGTGAAAATGTCATTGACCATATTGTACTGCAGTCTTCCACTCTACTATAAGGGGCTCAAGAAGTACCACCTTCAACATCATTTTGCCGACTTCGACAATGGTTTCGGTGTCACCAGCCGGTTTTGGGACCGTATTTTCGGTACTGAGCTTGAAACACCGGCACCTAAGGATGTGAAGACACAGTGAACGTAATCACATAAGGGTTTGCATTCATCACAAATCTCCTAAGTACGAAGTCATGCTGTGGCTGATTGCGGGCCAGTCTTTTATTCATGTTGGTTTCTGAACACATAGGATTTCGAACGCTTAGTTTTTGTTCTACCCTACTTTACTTCATGTACAGTGAATTCGGTCAACTGTTATTGCAGGGCCTTGATTCCTCCCATGCGCATAGTATGATCGTGGTCTTCAGCAAGGCCATTTTGTCAAATAGTGTTTATACGATTGTATATGATGATAACACCTAATATATAATACATTTACCATCAGCAGCATGCTTACTGGAACATAAGATTAAATACCCGTGCTTGTGGCGATATTTCCATGGTTCATTCAGAAAATTGTTCGGAGGCAGTAAATGCCAAGAGGCTCCACGTGATGTAGGCCGCTTTTCATTTCCACCCAACCTTGCCTGTTATCTCGTACCACTTCTATGAACTGTTGACCCTCAATAACTAACCCCTTTTCTCTTGAAAATTTATCATATTCTACAACGATTAGATCGTTTATTTAGGAGCAGGGACGCTCTATCTGGAACTAGGCTGTGAAACAGAAGGGTTCGCTCAAGTCAAGCCTGATCTGCCGTCACCATCTAACCAAGTCAAAAGTGACCTTAATCCATCCCGCACGATCTTCCTTTTCTCCTTTCCATTCAGCTTCATCCAGGGGAGAGTTATCAACATATCGTCAATATGTCAGGTCTCGATGTCGAGGCTCTACTTGAGTCTACAGCCGCCGCAGCGCCACAAGATGCACGACAGTCTCAGGAACGCGATGACCGCTCCAAAGCCGATAGTAGTGACCGCCGGGACCGCGACCGCTCACGAGACAAGGATCGTAGACGCCGGGACCGCAGCCGGGACCGACGTCGTGATGCCGATGGAGATGAAGACATGAAGAGTCCGAGAAGCGAACATGGCAGTGCTAACGGAAGCCATAGAAGCAGAAAGAGGAGCAGGAGCCGCGAGAGTGATCGCCGTCGATCTCGACGTGAACGCTATGGTGATGACTACCGATCTGGTGGTGACTATTACCGCGGAGGCGGGCGGGCCCGCACTCGATCTCGATCCCCTAATGATGACCGCTATTACCGCCCTTCAGGCCGTTCCCGTCGGGACGAGAGGGATGAAGACCGACGCTCTCGCCGTGAGCGAGACACACGCAGACGTAGCCCGAGTCGTGAAAGAACCCCAGAGCTCAACGAGGATGAGCGCGACAGACGTACCATCTTTGTACAACAGCTTGCGGCACGTCTGAGAACAAAGGAACTGGTTGCTTTCTTTGAGAAAGTTGGACCGGTTAAAGAAGCTCAGATTGTCAAGGATCGCGTTAGTGGTCGGTCTAAAGGGTGAGTATTCAATTTTCCATTGGGTATGTCGGTGATCTAACAATTGTTTAGTGTCGGTTATGTCGAATTTAAGAACGAAGATTCCGTTGCTCCTGCTATTCAGCTTACAGGACAGAAGCTTCTAGGAATTCCAATTATCGCACAGTTAACTGAAGCGGAAAAGAATCGTCAGGCTCGCAACCCGGACGCCAGCAGTGGCAATAATCACGCAGCTCCATTTCACAGGTTGTACGTGGGTAACATCCATTTCAGCATCACTGAAAATGACCTCCAGAATGTTTTTGAGCCGTTTGGCGAGCTCGAGTTTGTCCAGCTTCAGAAGGATGAAACCGGTAGAAGCAGAGGTTATGGCTTTGTCCAGTAAGTGTCAGCCCTCGCTTCTTTTGTGATGCCATTGTTGTTAACTGGTATCTTCTAGATTCCGTGATCCCAATCAAGCTCGGGAGGCACTAGAAAAGATGAACGGGTTTGACCTTGCTGGTCGAGCAATCCGCGTTGGCCTTGGCAACGATAAGTTCACCCCTGACTCGAGTGCTCAACGATTGCAGAGCCAAGGTGCAAACCAACAGAATTTCCAGGGCTCTTCATTCTCGGGCCATGGAGGCCGTGGTATCCAGGCCGGTGGTACTAGCAACTTCGACCGTGCTGGCGGCCGAGATTCTGAAAAAGGGGCCGGTGCTAGTGCTTTGGATGATACGGATGTTGCTGGTGTAAACTTCAACAACTATAGTAGGGACGCATTGATGAGGAAACTCGCAAGAACAGATGAACCCTCAGAGTCGTCCGCCGACGATAAGCAGAAGGTGCTTCGGCCTAAAACAGAAACCAAGCCATTGCCTGTCAACGTCAACATGGCGAGTCGGTGTGTTATGCTTCGTAATATGTTTGATCCTGGCGAGTAAGTCTATCCCTATAAATCTCTTTGCAAGCCATGGATATTAACACTTTATACAGGGAAGAAGGTGAAAGCTGGATTAAAGAGCTAGAGGATGACGTCCGCGCTGAGTGCGAAGAAAAATATGGCCATGTTGTTCACATTGCACTAGATCCTAACTCGCAAGGCGATATCTACCTGAAGTTCGACCGCGTCCAGGGTGGTGAAAACGCCATCAAAGGCTTGAATGGACGATTTTTCGGCGGCAAACAGATCACTGCGCAACCCGTTGTCGACGCTGTTTACAGCAGTTTGTTCTCTCGAACCAAGGCGATTTAGTGCTCAATTTGTCAATGCCTACGAAAGCTTACATCTTAGTAGGTATTTCATCTAATAGCGTGATATTAGGTGCGATTATTTGTGACGGAACCACCGTCTAACTCCGAACCATTTAAACTTGCTTCGACATGGTGCTTGGCTTTGATGACACTACCCCTGGTAGGTGCCATTTTTTGACATATTGCTTTTTATGGGCCAGAAGGCTTGTTTTGCAATGATTTGTTTATAGGTATTTGTACAGTGCATTAGCGCAATGAAACCTTTGTAGTTTTCCGGTATCTAGGTCTTCTCATTCACTGAGACTCCCCCAGGTATGCACTTTGATATGTGCCATTAAGCCAGCTAAATGTGTGATGAATCACTTGGGATATCGGCCCGGTCTGTGTCAGTATTCATGCCATGGCAACCCTCCGTTCGCCACGAGGTCTATGCTTGACCCGAAAGACACTGCTGCTTGATTCCCCATCACCTGCATGATGGAAGTCTTAAAGCATTCGATGTCGACCTTGCCTTCACGCCCAAAGCGCGTAGTCAGGGAAGTATTTATCATGAATCCGCCGAGCATAATCCACCACCGCTGGGTATCCCCGAACAACCTTCTGCGTATTTGGGGCCCTATATCCAACGTAACAGCATCAGCAACGCATCACAAGTCCTAGAAACATGAAATAGAGAGAGAGAGAGAGAGAGAGAGAGACAGAACATACGCATAACAAACCAATCCAGAAACAATAAACCCAAAAAGCGTCGCATCAGCCTCAGTCGGTTCCTCACCACCTGAAACCCAGAACGGACCCTGTCCTCCCCGTTCTCCATGCCGCGATCTCGCCTCGACAAGCGTACCATTGATCCGCTCCCAGATCTCCCCCCTCAAGGACCCGATCTCCTCCGTCGAGAAGAGCATCGTCCCCTGACCGGTAAGAGTACGCGTGACTTTGCTGTAGGCCAGAAGACCTATCACGACCCGGACAGGCCAGGGAAATGCAGCCAGAACCACATCTCGCATGGTATAGTAGTTCAGCACCCATTTTTCGTATGACTGGTTCCAGAATCAGTACACATTGTCATTGTCTCCGCATGTTCAGCTCTTCAAAAGATTTCCATCCACCATGGGTGGACCCATCCAGAAAGAGTAATGATATAAATAAGTAGACACGATACGCACGTTATACCAATACAACTTATCCTCCAACAACGCCTTCAATCCCATATCCTGGAGCTTCTGCGAGCCCGAGAGATTCGCGTTGAGATCCTTCGTTAACCCCTTCTCAATAAATGTCTTTGTGATCATGGTCGAATCGCCCATAACGACCGGCGAAGCTGGTTTGCTTCCATCTTCGTAAAGGGTCTCTGCCGGGATGGAGATGTAGGGCACTTTGCCTCGGGGCGCGTTGCGTATAGAGCCTGCTTCCACGCGGTAGGGTATGCCGGCGAAGCGCAGGCGGACTTCCAGTTTGATTACGAATGGGGACCAGCTGTAGGTTCCTGTGCCTGGGAGGCCGCGGTAGAGGGTTAGGGGTGTTGAGTCTGAGGTTGAGGTCATTTTGGTTTGTCGAGGTATATGTGATGGGAGTTGGGTTTCTTTTTTATTTCTTCTGAGGGAGATGGGATATTAGGGCTGTGTATACTGGGGGGGGGGCTGGGGACAAGCTACTCGTGTTTGTGTTTTTATATACTTTGCGTTGTCAGGCTTGGGTCGGGTTTTGCGGCGCTTTCAAAGCCGATATGGCTTGGGGGCTATGTTCTGACCGAAGGTATCGAGCCATGACGTGGCGGTCAGCACGAATCAGATCCTCATAGCGTCTTCCTTGCATTTTGATCTGCTCCATTTTAGGCTGCATTAGGTTGAGACGGACACAAATCAACACGGCGATGTATTGTGAATGTGGGATATATATATATGTACAGTGTAACCAGAGGGCCAAAGCTCATCAAAGTAAAAAAAAAGTAAAAATAAGAACAATATGTACATATCCTCAAGTTAACATTAAGTTCTTCCTCACGGTCATCGCCGTGACCGACGCGGATCAGTCGCTTCTTGTCGGCGCCATTCCCGAGATTCCTTCGTTCCCATGCTTCCCAAACCGCCTTCAAGTCGTCGTTCCCAACCACCCAGTCGGACGACAAGACAGGTAGCATTGTCTCCCTCCTTTGTCACTTCGTTCGCAAAGTTGACCACATCCCGCGACCCCTGCTCGGGAGTCCTGGCCTCCTTGACGATGTCAACGACTTCTTGGTCACTGAGCGTTCCACTGATACCATCAGACATCAGGACCAAAAATGAGTACTCTGCAGGTGCCATCTCAATCCTTCGAAGCTCTGGCTCGGCTGATACGCCAATCCGTTTCGACTGAACATCACCAAAGGCTCGCGTGTTGGCCAATCCACTCATGCGCTCTTCTCCAAACGAGTCGGTCACGAAAGTAGTGGCATATCGTCGTAAGCGACTCGCTTCAATCGGTGACGACGGATGATGGTCGGAAGTCAGCGGGATGGCATCGCCTGTCTCTGTAGAGCATAATAGTATCCGTGTGTCGCCGACATGAGACACCAACAGACTAGACGGGCTAGACGGATGCCAGAAAGGGGTAGGCGTTGGGGTAGATATGAGCGCGACGCTCGCCGTGCTACCTCCCTTGAATCGTCTTACTCCCCCGATGTGTAGAGACGGTGTACGATCACGGCCGTAGAGGATATTGTCCTGATATAAAGGATGACCCACATTCTCCAATTCATCGCTTTGTTTCGCCGCTTGTGCCGACACAAATTCCAGATCGGTGCAGAGGAAGGCGTATTCGAGGACCTCTTCGATGGTAACACCTTCAGGTAGGTTGGACAGTGCCTTTGGCTCCCCGCGGGCACCTCTTCCAATATGTGAGAAGTGAGGAGGCATAAATCTCTTGAAGTACCCTCCGACTAGGGCTCGCCAATCTCGAACGAGGTGTTTTTCTAGTTCCCCGATTCGTTGCGAGTTGGCGTCTTGCAGAATAGGCAAATCTCCAGTAGACGGCTCTGTGTCCTTAGAATAATGGCCATCCCGGTTTTTCTTCAGACTGGACTGGAGCTCGAACGTCGCTGCCGAATCCTGTATGTACTCATGAAGAGTGTGCTGTAGAAACGTGCTACATTCGTTTCCCCCGTGGCCATCGAATACTGCGAAATAGAAAACCTGTGGATCGCCACTAGCAGTCTCCGCCCCTTGACTCTCGCGGGGTGCAGGGGATCCATTGGCACCCGATCGTTTGATCGTCAGGGACGCAGGGGGACGCTTCGCAAATGCAGGAATATCGATCACGCCAGCTTGATATGTATCTTCATTTTCCGGGCGAGTTCCACGGGAAGTTGATGCGCCGAAGTGGTGTTTCGCGCTGCGAAGAGGGATGCGGACGACAGTCGTCTCCCGGGCGACCAGCGGCTGGAAGGAGGCTGGAGGGTGAGATGACTCTCCGGTATGAGGAACGGAGGCGGAGCGAGGAAGTTTGTAGAAAGAGTTTACTGGCGCTCGGGGATCTGGATGAAGCGAGGAAGATGGTAAATGCGTAACAAAGTAGTCGTGAAATTCAGGCCTCTTGGTTGCCCGGTTGTCGTTAGTTACAGAATTCGCGGGATTGGACGTGTAGCAACGCTTTGGTAGAATCAGAGAAACTAAGAAGCAGATGTGTGTTAGTCAACATTCGTCGGAGCTCATGAGTGAGCCAGATCCAGCGACGCGATCCCCAGCATGGACATCTCGGAGATAAGCCCTAGAGATGTTTGTGCAAGGGTTAAGGTATACATACTGCGACGATCAGCCAGAGTCCGGACCTGGACTGTGACCCGCTTCGCAGGAGTGAGATTCATGAAGGTCGAGGCATTGACGGATTGAAGATAGGGGGGAAAGGTGAATTCACGTCTGAGAGTAGGGAGTATGTAAAAACGCTGAGAAGGGCTTTATCGGGAAACCGCGGGGATTGATGATTTTGCGGCCCGAGCGCAATTGCGACGGAGAAATGCAACGGCAATTTCTTAGATGCAATCCTTCTTATCTTCCTTATCCACCGTGCTCCTAACTTACCCCATGGAGAAATCTTACTTATCGCACTCTCTGAAGGGTCGGATCAACAGCAATGTGTGGCATGTTATTCTTGGGGCCGAAAGTCGCCCGGACTATGATTTTGCCTCTGATACTTTTCAACAACTTCCCCGGGGATCCTTGAAATGCTCTCATGGACTCCACCATAACGCCATCGCACTTTTCAACAACCAATCCCTCCCCCCCACATCCTGACGTGCAACTATTGACATCATCACAATGCTGAAAGCCTAAACCGCTTTGTCCAATTCATTCATTCAGTGTTCTCAACCAACGGGCCATTTCCTCTCTCTCCTAAGCCATTGCCATCTTCACATCTGTAATACTCCGTTTTCTCTCATTTCCCATGCAGCACAAGATATGGTGAAACTACCAAAAAAATTTAAAATTTGGCAAGGTCACGGACGGCAACTCACTTAGCATGCATCTCACTCTCACTGATAAGCTGAGTATAGCGTCTTGGGGGAGGACGCAACAGTACCTTCGCTAGGCCTACCAGCCTGATGTCAGCAGGGCTCGTGGAATTATCATTGATACTAATGGTTGGGGTGACGCCCAGACGAACAAGGATGTTGTCCTGCTTCAGTCTCTGGGGGTCCCCGCCCATAAATTGATCACAATTGACCATTGTACCGGGCTCGAAAATGTCGTTCACCGCAGGAAACGTGAAACTATATTCGAAGGGTAATGAATATAGATCTATTGCGAGCGTCTGTGCCTCGGTTAAGATGTCCTGAAGATCCATCCAGACCACCTGATACTGGTTCAAGGGGTCATGAGTAAGGGGGCCTATGAGCAGCCACAACTTTTCCATATGAGAGTGGATGTTGTGTTTATTAAATTCGGAAAATCTCGGCTTCTTTACTATGGCCTGGATATGGTGTGCTATCGTGATGAGCAGCGAATGGCGGACCACCGCAGGGGTATC